AGAGGTTCGTGGTGGTCCCTAAATAGCGAGCTTTTTGTGCGCTACATTCAATAGAGATATGAAATCATTGAATGCATTTTCTGGTAGATATCAATAAAATACCATTTTTCGAAGTCTCGAGGAAGGAGGTACTGCGGGGGAATCCCCTTCACTCCCTCCACCCCCCTTCACCCCCGTCCAACCCCTCCACCCCGCTCCCACCCAGTCGCCCTCCGTGTGGACCTGCCACTTGCTGCCCCAGGTCACCGTGTTGATGGCTCACTGCGCTATCCACTACGCCACCCGCTCACCCCAGCAGTGCGTCGTCGATTAATACATCGGCGCTGCTGCTGCTGCTGCTGCTACTGCTGCTTTGGCAGTGGAACCAGCAGCAGCGCGACTGCGCGAGCCCGCACAGTCGCGGTGTCTGAACCGGTACCGGGCACCAAACTTCACAAATCCCACACCGGTTATTATTATAATAATAAATAACGAATATCGCGTTCACTGAGCAAATGCAGATAGATCGGTCCAAACATTTTGGACGCTCAAACGATTACCCGCGATCTCCTTCCCCGAACCCTCCCTGTGGCAACCCATCACTGGTTTTTTTTTTTTACCAATAAAATGATCTCTCTGGGCCAATTTGCTACAAGGCAATATTTGTCTTAAGAATTATAATGAAGATGATGATGGTGGCGGTGGTGATGAGGATGATGAAAGAAATTGATTTAATTGATGCGTCAATTTACTTAACGAGTCTTTGCTGTCCAGACATTTGGGTAAGCCACTCTGCACACATTTGTCCGTCCAAACTTTCACTCCGTTTAAATTGGTTCTTTGATTTCGCTCAAATTTGATCTCTATTTACAAACCCTCGCCGTGACAACACACATCTGCTCTTTCCAGCTGATAAACAGCACAAGCCCTTGGACAAATAATCCAGAAATCGCCCAGTCCCGTCAGATATCGGAAGCTAAGGCGTGTTCGAGCCTAGATTTTGCGTGGATGGGGGCGACCACCATGCATAACAAGCGCTTTCGGGTCCTTGAGGGGCTATGTGGCTTGACGGCAAAGGGCAGTGCATCGTTGGACTGAAAATCTACGCTCCGCAGTTTACACTTCCCACTTCAACGCCCTGTACTGACCGGCGTGATGAAGTATGTCCAAATGACCCCCACGACCCGCACGGCGTGGGCAGGCCCCTCGTCCAGAAATTGATTGGCATGAACCAGGTGCACAAAGAGAGTTCATCCCTAGGGGTCAATTTGCCGACAAGGCAATAACTTGGCTTACGCGGGATGATCGTGGCGGCGATCTTGATAATGACGATGATGAATTAAAATAATTGGACTTCACTCTCTTTCGCGAGCCTCAGAGCCAGATTCTCTCAGTCAAAATCCCTCCATGTCTCCGGATCAAGGCAGCTTTCTCCCCCACCCCCACCTCACCCCACTTCACCGAACAGCCCACGAGCCCCAAGGGATGCATAGGCTCCGGGGTTAATTGTGCGGGCTGTTTGTAATATCTGTCCCGTGATTGCGCTGGTGCCTGATGACATTTTACGAGAATTTCTTGCAATCTGCGGTAAAACATCACCCCCAAGGAAACGCACTCACTCACACACGCACACACACGCCCACACATACGGGCATCCACACACACACACACGCACACATCACACGTATAGCCTTCACAAGAATGTTGGGGCAAGTGCTGTTCGCGAGGACCTATGAAGGCCGGCCCCGGCACACGAGTGTGTGGGTGACCAGCACCATGCCCGGCCGCCTTTGTCTCCCTAGTGGCGATGTTTACACATCGTGACCAGGTACTCATCTGAGGCTGAGTCGACCTAGGGGAGGCCCATGACCGTTTCAGGTAATTATCAGCGGTGTTGATTGCCGCGAACGGGAATCGAACTCGGTTCGCCGGGTTCGTAGCGCAACGCACTGACCGCTGCACCACCGCTCCGCACACCGCACCCCCTACACAGCACGCGCACACAGAATCACACACATAATCCCACACAGAATCACATAATCCCACACAGAATTACACACAGAATCACACACAGAATCACACACATAATCCCACACAGAATCACACACAGAATCACACACATAATCCCACACAGAATTACACACAGAATCACACACAGAATCACACACAGAATCACACACGTAATCACACACAGAATCACACACAGAATCACACACATAATCCCACACAGAATCACATAATCCCACACAGAATTACACACAGAATCACACACAGAATCACACACATAATCCCACACAGAATCACACACAGAATCACACACATAATCCCACACAGAATTACACACAGAATCACACACAGAATCACACACAGAATCACACACGTAATCACACACAGAATCACACACAGAATCACACACATAATCCCACACAGAATCACACACAGAGTCACACACAGAATTACACACAGAATCACACACAGAATCACACACAGAATCACACACATAATCCCACACAGAATCACACACAGAATCACACACAGAATCACACACAGAATCTCACACAGAATCCCACACAGAATCACACACAGAATCACACAGAATCACACACATAATCCCACACAGAATCACACACAGAATCACACACAGAATTACACACAGAATCACACACAGAATCACACACAGAATCACACAGAATTACACACAGAATCACACACAGAATCACACACAGAATCCCACACAGAATCCCACACAGAATTACACACAGAATCACACACAGAATCACACGCAGAATTACACACAGAATCAGCGCGATTTCTTTGTTTTGGGAGTGGGTGGCGGCGGGCAGGGGGTTGCTGCTACACTCATCCCTGTGGTGCCGTGACGCGGCATTCCCTCCACGTTCGCGGCTTGCGGACTGCGCGGCCAGGCGGATGGAGCAGGAGCGTGAGGGCGCGTCACGGCGAATTCGGTTCGCGTGGACATTGATTCTTCACGGTCCGCGTGGACATTGATTCTTCACGGAGGTGACAGCGTGCGGAATTGACACGAACGATGAGTTCAGACGAGTAGCGGCGCGGGGACGACTCGACATCGGAGACGCGTTCGAGGCTGCTGCTGCTGCTCTCTCTTGTCTCTTTATTGGGTAGGGGCTGCGTCGACAAAGTCGCCTTGCTGTTGCTTGACACGCCGCTTACGAGCACGTGGCACGCGTGACGCTCACGAAGGGCGTCGCTATCGCCCCTGGGTGTGCGAAGGCGTGCCCTGACACGCGTAACGCTGGCGCTTTTCCTAAGATGCCGACAACAAAAATTGTCATCTTTCATCTGCACCGGGAGAGCGATAGCACGTCTGTGTGCGTGTCAGAACATCGATTTATGCCAGTAATAAGCCACGGTTTCGAAAACTGCAATTGTTGCCTTCTCTGGACAATGTCCGGTCCAGCCGTGGCTCCGAAACTCTCCCGCTGCCCATTCGCGTTCTCCACTCCCGAGTTTATAACCACAGATAACTTACCTTCACAATAACAAGAGCAACATTGATAACAATACATGCCAACTTTTAACACTGCTCACCGTTCCCACCAAAACATTCACCAGTGTGATGATTTTAATACTTTTTTGACCCCGTGAAGTCGCCACATTTATGGAACCGCCACTTTTCCACCGTGGGTTAATACGGAACGGGACTAAGCAATCCCCCCACCTCTTTCTCTGCCCGCTCGCTCTACTCCCTGACCTAACCCTCATCTTTCCCTTCCCCACAGAAAAGTACAAAAATCCCCGCTCGCGATCCCCATTCGGGTGGGACAGTGAGCCCAATCTCCCCCCCCCCCCCCAGCTCAACCCCCTCTCCTCTCATCCCAGCAGCACAGAGTTCTGGGTCTTAGATCCGCAGAGTTTCTCTTACCCTACCGTCCCTGCGTAGCGGTTCGTGCTCTGTACCGAGCTCTTATTGAAATACATTTTCTTTTTTTTTACTTCCATATAAATAAAAACACAAAGGAATCGCGTCGCCACGTCGGCCGATACCGCACGGGCCAGGCTCGACAGGGCCAGGATCGTAAATTCCCCAAAAAAGGCGGCGGCGTCGTCGTCGTCGGCGCAGTGCAGGGCCCTGAGAGGCGACCTGGGGCGGACGCCACGCGGCGATTTAAACGGCGCCTCCGCATCGGGGACTGCCTCCGCGACAAATGGGCGCTGTCGCGGGGAATTTTGCGATAACGTCCCGCACGCGCGTGCGCGCGCGAGAGATAGAGGAGAGTGGAGATATGAAAGAGAAAATCCAGTTATGTTGCGTTTAAAATGAATGCCGAGTGGTTTGGGCGTGCGTGCGGTCCGAGTGACTCGACTCGAAGGGGAGCGAGATGCATATTTAACTCGAACGGGGGACGGCTACTGCTTTGATGTGTCGCGTCGAGAACTGAATAAACGGCTGTATAATGCTCGTGGAAGAATTTAATGTGAATTGTGAATGCAACGTTCCCTCTCGCTAAATCTAAGTGCGTCTTCTTTCCAATCGCCTTTGTAATCCTTAGTCTCTCCGCACCCGATTCTTCTCTCGCTCTCTCGTTTGTTCACTTGGCTTCTTCGCGTGTCCCTCCTCGTCAGCCCTACCGCACGTATACAGACATAGATCCCCCGTATAGACTTTAATAGACTTGCGGGGCAAGTGCTGTTTGCGAGCAACTCAGGAAGGCCGGCACGGCTGACGAATGGGTGGGTGGCCAGCGACACGTCCCAATATCTTCGTCTTCCCAAAGCTGATGTTGTATACACACTGCACCAGGTACTCATTTGAGGTCGAGTCGACCTGGGGAAGCCCAGGACCGGTTAGGTAATTGTCACCGGTGTTGGCTGCGAGTGGGAATTGAACTCGGGTCGCCGGGTTCGTAGCGCAGCGCCCTAACCGTCGCGCCACCGCTCCCTACACACACCGACGTACAAACACTGACTCGCCACCCCCCTCTTTTGAACTCATGCTCCTCTCCCTTTGCTCTCTCCTCCTCCGCCGCTGCCGAGAGCAGCATGGGCCAAGACGGCGGGGGCAGCATGAACGGCTCGCTGGAGCACGGCGGTCCGGCGGGGCAGCCCGACCTGGACGCCATCAAGATGTTCGTGGGGCAGATCCCGCGCTCGTGGAGCGAGAAGGAGCTCAGGGATCTGTTCGAGCAGTTCGGCCCCGTCTACGAGATCAACATCGTGCGGGACCGCACGCAGAAGCCTCCGCAGAGCCGCGGTGAGTGGTCGTGCGGGCGGGATTTGGTGAATTATTGGGCGAACGTGCAGACGTTGGGTCGACGTTGGGTCGACGTTGGGGCAACGCTAGGCGGATGTTGGGTCGACGTTCGTCGTTGCATTGGCGCAAGCTCACGCCAACGTCGGGCCAACGTAAGCATTTTGGCGGTGTATACTCACAATAACAAGCGTAGCATGGCCCTAAAAAAACCGCATAAATAATAACCAGAGTAAATATAACGACATCACGGCTTCACACAGTCATCGCTCAACGCGAGCAACCTCAAGTAATGCACGGTTCAGTTATAATTTAATAAGGGTTAGCGGAGTGATTATTCGACGTGTGAACATGTCGCTGTCTGGGAGAAATCTCAGAGCTGGGGATTTAAGCGTGAATTGTGAACGCGCGGGAGTTGCTTCCCTCCCCCTCTCCCCGTTGAACAGTGAGCGGCTCTCTGACTGATAATCAGAGGCGGAAACACCCGTGCGTTACTGTGGGCGCACCTGGCTGTGTGGGTGTCCATCTGCCGCAGAGCGCGTGGGATTGGCGCCTGCGTTGCAACATCGACAATGTACACAGGGCACACGGAACACACGCCGCGCTGGGACGGAGGGGTAGCGCAGGCGGGTTAGCGCAACCGCGCTTTGAAACCGGCGAACCGAGTTCGATTCCCGGCCGCGGCTACCATCAGTGGCGAGTGATATCTGAACTGTTAACTACCTCACCTGGTATGCAGGAGGTCGTCGGTTCGATCAAGACCCGGACGCATGTATAATTGGAGTTTGCGTGGTCGTGTGGATTTTTCTCCGGGTCCTCTGGATTTTCCCTCCACATCCAGCAACATGCGTTTATAGTATTTGGCTGCTATAAATTGCCACATGATAAGCCGCTTCATTATTTGTGGCCACGTCGCTTCTTAAAAAAGAGCTCTATAGCTCAGTAGGGGCCTTACCTGGTAAACTACAAATTTATTCGAATAGAGAATAAATTAATTTCCAACCGGCAATGAAGTACGGTCAAGCGGCCTCTCACGATCGACAGCAGTGGATTGACAAAGGGGCCGACAGGTAGAGCGGTGTCACCGTGGCGAGCGCATTGCACTCCGAACAGCGGGCACGGCCGATTACATCACCAGCGACAGTTCATATCAGCGGCGAGCGGCAGCCAACCCGGCCCTGAGCTCGCCCCATTCCCCAAACCTTCACTGGACCACCTTAAGGGGGGGGGGGGGTCAAGTACGGTCAAAAATCCCTTTGCGAAGGACGCAGCATCGGACATCGGGCAGCGGAGGCCTGAGCGGCGCTGTAAACGATTTGGGACATTCAGTGGCCACGCGCACGGCGGGGTTGCTGGCCACCACCTCTCGACCTGCCTCGGCGTTTGGCTCGTCGGGCCCTCGCGCGCACCTGGTGGGGGTTGAGTCGGGGTCGACCGCGGTGGCCGCGCATGTCCTCAGCGCTTTTATTGGCCCAGTCCGTGTGAAGTTCAACGTCTCGATCCCCGCTGCAGCTGCCTTTGTCTTCTGCCGAACATCCAAGAGTGGGGGGCGAGGGGCGGGGGGGGAATTCGCAGCTGGAGTTCCTCATCGCGTTTGCCTTGCGTGGTGGCGCAAATCCCAAACATTAAAATTGCTTTCCCGGATATCCCGCTGCAGTCGCGACCGTCGCCTTTATTGCATACGCGGTGATTGCCGTGGGCCCATGGGGAGGCGAATCACGACATGCGATGTTGAGCCCCTCCTCCACTTTCCATGTATAAACTCGTCGTGAGATGGCGGAAGAGAGATACTGTCGTAGGCACGCTTGTTCAGAGACGCGGCGGTAGAAGAGAGACGCAGATGAGAAGATGCCTTCTGTGAGATGACAGAGATGTAGACTCTAAAATTAAAACTAATTTATTTAGAACTGCTATTTGTGTTTAGTTTGTTGTCCTTCCCCCGCACCTCCGATGAGCACGGTTGGCTACGTACGGTGTGAAAGAAGTCCAACATACATCCATACTGACATACGGGACAGATATGTAATGAGATGATAGAAGAGAGAAATACAGGCAAAGACGGAGATGAGAGCGATTAATTAGCGCTATTTTTCCTCGACCTTTTTATCGTTTGTTAGCATCTGAACTCGAGCTTGGCATTTGGTTCCTCCGTATCCGTGTGGATTCCCCGTGGAATCTCCCCGCCCGCCCCACCTTTAACTCCACGGGGCTCCACGCCTCTTCCCACGCGCACTTTTGTGTGACGCCCAGCGCACAGCCATCACCACCACCAGCAGCCACCAGCAGCAGCCACCAGCAGCCACCACCAGCAGAAGCAGCCACCAGCAGCCACCGCCAGCAGCCACCAGCAGCAGAAGCAGCCACCACCAGCCACCACCAGCAGCCACCAGCAGCAGAAGCAGCCACCAGCAGCAGAAGCAGCCACCAGCAGCCACCACCAGCAGCCACCACCAGCAGCCACCACCAGCAGCAGCAGCGCATTGCCACGGCGCTCTCTCACGAGCGGGCCACAGTGGTCCTCGGCGGGCCTCTTGGCCCATTAAATGAATGGCCGCCCGGTGATTGATCGCGAGATAAAATGTCGCGATGGCCAGCGGCGTCGGCGGTCGGCGCGCCCGCCGTCTTGGTTGGGTTTGTCGGTCGCTGGAGGGGCCCGCGGGGATCGAGGCGGCGGGCCGCGCAGTGAACGCGCCCCGGGATTGTCGAGCGGAGGCTTTTTGCCCGCGAATAAATGGATGGATCCCCCCCCCACCACACCTCTCCCGGGTTTAATGCGACCTGTCCGACAAGATGACATGAGTGTGTGTGTGTGCGCACGGGGAGCGGTGGCGTATCGGTTAGCGCGCTGCGCTACGAACCCAACGACCCGAGTTCGATTCCCGCTCACGGCAAAACACCGGTGACGATTATCTGAACCAGTCATGGGCCTCCCCTAGGTCGACTCAGCCTCAAATGAGTACCTGGTGCGGTGTTTAAACATCATCCACTGGGGAGACAAAGGCGGCCGAGCGTGGTGCTGGCCACCCACCCCCTCGTGTGCCGTGCCGGCCTTCATAGGTGCTCGCTAACAGCACTTGCCCCAACAGTCTGTTAAGGCTATACGGGGGGTCTTTGTATGGTGTGTGATGGCCGTAAATGGCGAGCGGTAGCGCACCGGTTAGGACAACGCTGCACTACGAACCGGGAATTCAGAGTTCGATTCCCGCTCATGGTCACCGATACCGGTGACGATTATCTGAATCGGTTCAGAGCATCCCCTAGTTCGTCGACTCATCTTCAAATGCGCACCTGGTCTGGTGTGTAAACATCGGCAATGGCGAGACAAAGGCCGCCGGGCGTGGTGCTGGTCACCCATCCCTTCGCGTGCCTTGTCGACCACCATTGGTGCCACTCGCTAACAGCACTTGCCCCCAACATCCTGTGAAGTCTATACGAGGGGCCTTTGTCTTTTGTGTGTGCGCGCGTGTGCGTTCATCTACGTAAATTATCGGAATCATTCGCAACTCGACAGGCAGTGGCGGCAGCGGTGCAACGCAGAGTGGATGACAGGCTCGGTGCGGGAGGCAGGGAGGGAGGCAAGGAAATTGTATCAAAGTGCTGATTTCCTCCTGGGTGTAATTGCTTGTTCGGAGAGAGAAACTCAAGCGGCGCTGGGGTCGTCTTTACAATTCCGGTCGCTTTCTCTCTCTCTCGCGGCATTGGCGTGGAGATGCCTCCGCTGCCACGTCCCATGATTCATCACCGCCAGCAGCAGCAGCGGCGGTGGTGGCGGCTTCAGCCGTCTCTCCTCCTCCTCCTCGCCCAGAGGCTCCTTTGTCGCCGTGCAGGGGGGCGGGGGGGGGGTCGCCGCGGTTGCTCTGTACGGCTCCCGCGTGCGGACTCGGCTCATGGACGCGTCGAGTCATCGGCGATGAGCGATGTTTGTTTGCTCCGCGTGCTGCGAGAGCTTCTTTCGGGGGGACCGACACGCGGCTCTCTTTCTCCCACGGGGTCGATCCGTGACGGAGACTATCGTGGTGCCGCACGAGACGACACGCGGCACGACCCCAACACGCTGTCCTTACACAGAGGTCCGTAGACTTACATCGAGACCCATGGCGTTACATCGTCTTCTAACACAGACGTCCCTCGCTATTGCTTGGGGTCAGCTGTTCAGATTTCCTTTCTCCATGAACTTCAATGCTGTACCTCTGCTCTCGTCACGTACATACGTAGAATTTATTTCGCACCGTACATAGCCAACCGCGCGAATCGGAGGTGCTGGGGAAGGAAGAAAAATGTAAAACAGCATCCTGGTATCGCATCGCACTGCACCAAACACTCCCATTCCCCCCATCAGCCATTCTCACGGCATCTTCTCCGTCTCTTCTCAGCACGTGCCAGAAAATATTTCAGTCTCGCATTCCCGGACCTTTCTCGCTTCTGTGATTGATCCCTGTTGTGGCTCTAACTTCTTCATTCCACCTCTGTTCGATGAGCGGTCAACAGCCCGAACGGGGTCACCCCTCACGTGACAACCAATGGCAGTGCCGGGCACGGTGTGAGTTCCAGTTTGCTCATTTTCTGTGTACGGTGATCATCGCAATCAGAATCTTTAGACTGGAGCAGTGTCGTGGTAACGACGTCATCAGCTCAGGGACCGTCCATAAAGGACGTCACGCGATTTTTAGACGATTTTTGACCCCCCCCCCCCCCTCGTCACACGGCGTCACAAAAAGTCAGACCCCCCCTTAAATATGACGTCACAAAGCTCTGCTCCCCCCCCCAAAAAAAAATATAAAACATGCTTCAAATCGCTTTAAACTATTGTCATTGTAGTGCGTATTTAATGTGGCGCTGCACTCTGATGTTGTAGGAGAGAACATTTATTTAAAAAGTCTATTTAATTAAGTAGAACGTGTTGTCTATATTTATTTAAAGTTGCGCATTTTGATATGACGTCATATTTCTCAACCCCCCCCCCCCCCCTCGTCACACATCGTCACAAATGTCTGACCCCCCCA